CCGCGCCCCGCTTTCATTGCGGGGAGGGGCGGGGGGCCCCCCCATCGGCTGCCCTCCCTGGGGAGCCGAGCTGCTGCCCGCCCCGGTGGGTGCCCGCCCTGGCCAGGACGCAGTGGGTGCAGCGAGGGGGTGTTCCCATGAGCTCTCTGACACACCAGCAGACATAGCTGTCGGGGTGAGAACATGTTTATTCCTCCGCTGCGCTTATCGCCTGAGCTGACCCTCACGCGCAGTGCCCGCGGTGGCACTCGCATTAAGCCGAGCCGATCTGGAGGCATGTGGGGAGTATTTACAGGCAAGGGGTTGCAAAGCCTCGGGGAATGCAGGCAGGACGGGCTCCAGGCTCTTCGCTGCACCCTTCAGCAGTGCACGGGGCCAGGGCACCCGGTGACACCGTGCCGTGGTGCTTTGGTGCACTGTGCCCTCCCCACCTGGGGAAATGCCCAGCCCCGGCCCCGTGGGGCGGCACTGGGGACCGCTGGTCCCGGCCACCACCTCCAGGCACCCTCCCTGAGGTGCGGGACGCTGCGATGGCAGAGCTATCCCCATCGCCTGCCCCTCTTGCTGTGAAAGCTGCAAGAAACAACTCCTGCACTTGTGGCGTTTCTTGGAATTTGGGGTTTGGGGGGGAGAAGGAGTTCCCCCATCCCGCCCGCCGCGCTCAGCCTCGGCGCAAAGGGCAGCTCGGCTGTAACTCTAGCTCAGCCAAGAACGTGGCGGGCGGGCTGGCGCACAGCTCTTCATACGACTGTTGGTCGTGTGCGCGTGTGACTGGGCGTAAAACACTGTTTTAGTAGTGACTCCATAGAAATCAGAGCGGTTGGTGACCCCGGTCCGACTGGCAGTCCCCAAGCACCCTGCTCTGCCGGGAATCTCCCGCGATGATGGGGCTGCGGCTCCGGGACACCTCCTCCCGCCAGGCAGGCGCAGCCCTCGCCTTACACACGCGTCATCCTGAGGGCGTCTTTGAAGTCATCCCCTGCGGGCGGGCGGGCAGATGCCTGGCCCAGGGCTCCCACAGCGGGGTCGGCCGTGCTGCCCCCGCGGGGCTCCGGCTCAGCCGGGAGCCCTCCGCGCCTCTTCGGAGCGCCGGGGTTTGGTGAGGGAGGACTGTGGTAAATCCATACTGATAACTACGTAAGGATTGCCCGTGGGCAGCAGCAGGCTCGGCCGTCTCCAGCCGTCCCTCGGGGGGCATTTCTCCCCCATTCCTGCAGCCCCCACCGCTGCTATGGCCACGTTTCCCGGCTCATCCCTGCCTGCGTCTGGGTAGCGTGGGCAGCCTGCCCGCGGCGGCAGCGTCGCCTGCTCCCGGGAAGGGGTTGGTGTTGCCGATGGCCTCAAGCACTCTGCGGGCGGCTGCCAGGGGTGCCTGGCACCTCAGAGCTGTTACAGCACATGGACGTGGTTGTGATCGATTGACGACAGGCCCAGGCTCCTGCTTGCAGTCCCTACTGACAGCCAGCGGCTGTTGGTGACGGTGACAAGTCACACGGGTGTTTGAGTGTCGCCGCTGCAATCACGAGCTGCAGCGAAGGGGCTGCTGTGGGCTCCGGCCGGGCTGCGGCTGCCCGCCCCGGGGGGCCCAAAAACAAGAAGGAGCAGGCG